TTTTTAATAATTTTCTTCATCTGAATATGATTTCGCATTGAGGAAAAGGGGAGTTTTAATTCCCCACCAGTAAAAAAGGGCCCTTGTGTGACATATATGCCCCTCTCTCTCTCTCTCTCTCTGTGTGTGTGTGTGTGTGTGAGAGAGAGAGAGAGAGAGACATCAGTGCCTCACCAGCTATAAACCTCACCGCATGTCACTGGCCTAAATTTTTTTTCCCTTTAATATTTTACAGTGTTCAGAAGGACCCTTTGCTAACTTGCTAAAGAAGACAATTGAAATTTAGAGTAGTGCTGAAGAAGAGGGTCAGCATCAAGCTGTTTTGATCTGCCAATACATTATTTAGAATATTCCCAAAGCCTTTTTCTCTTCATTTTACGGAAAATAAATTAGGATAATGATGATCTTCCTAGGAATTTAAGGTATTGCCCTTGCTGCTAGGGTTAAGGTGCAAATTAATTATACTGCCTAAAGTGATTGAATCCACTCTTGTGTTTTTAAAGCAATGCCTGAAGTGAAACTTACTCAAAATTCACATTTTTCTGAATTTGTAATGCCTTTTTGTCATATGAAAACATATATAAAGGGGAAAAGTGTATTGGGAAATGTATGCTCATGAAAACATTATTTAAAATGATTTAAGAACTATATACAGTATCTATCTCCTGAACAAATGCATAGTCCTCAAGCAGGGGTCTATTCAAATGCTGAGTGATTAGCAACTACAGAGGAATTTCAAGGACACAAATGTAGCACAGTTCTGGAGAAATAGATTGTGTAGGCAGGTGTCTGAAGATAAACAATACAAGCTGTTCACAAGCCTTTGGGGCAATATTAGGTCTTGTGCAGCCTATCTTTATAGAAAGCAAGAAAACAGACAAATCAAACATGCTGATGCATGTTTTTAATCTATGATTAAGCAGCAGGTTCAAGATGGAGAATGGGAAAATGGGATTCTATGGCACTGTTGTTCTAGAACTAAAAACAGCCTTTTCCAATCAGGAAATTCTAGAAGTATTAGCCTCAATGCATTACAAATTCGGTAAGGCTAATTTATATCATACTATCTAGTTACTTAAAATGAATGGTCTTATCCGGCCTTCCCGTCACTGGTTTTGTTCATATAAAGAAAAGCTATGGGATATAAACCCACTGGTATATTCTGAACATCCATCCTGCTGTTAAAATCGAACTACAAACACGTGATATTATTGAAGGGAATGATGACTAAATTGCAAAAAAAGCCCCCCCCCCAAAAGGTTCACAACACTTTTTTTTAGAATTAAAACAAATGTAAATTTCAGTGCCTTTTGGGCAAATTATTCCTTATTTATTTTTATGTATCATTATTCTGTATTGTTAAATTGTCACATTATCTCAGTGAATTTAAATGGTGTTTTTTACTGTATAGCTCTACAAAGTTCAAACTGGGAGCTATTCATTTGACTTGATCAGAGCTGACTCTGGTTGGTCAATGAGGTTAGGATTAGGATTGTAATGCTGCAGCAATATCATGGCTTACATTCTTCCTGAATAGCACAATAGATTAGGGATCTATTATAATAACTTGCAATAGTTTGGAACTTACTGTAAATACCAAGTTTTGGTATGTATGTATGTATGTATGTATGTATGTATGTATGTATGTATGTATGTATGTATG